TTATGGGATTGGTGTTAGTAGACGTTGAAGAGTAACGTCTCTAACGCTTAGTCCTCTAGGCAAGTCCTTTAATTATATATCATTCTTCTCGCATTGTAATTGGAATAAAAGGAATACAAGTAGAGTTAAATATCAGATATATGATATGATTATCTCTGAAAATACTATTTTTAATATAAAAAGTATTTTTTTTTTCATTATAAAAATATTTATTTTTGTATTTACACTTACTTATGTAGGCTTACAAAACTTTTGCCTTTAAAAACTATTCGTAGGAAAATGTAGAAAATTTCAGTTGTACTTATGCTAAGCATTTATAACTATATACAGAGAGCAAGGAGTTCAGGAAGCTAGAGCTCCTTAGATTTTCACAACTTAAGAGCTATCACACATGTTCGGCTTTGATCGATCTTTGACTAGAACTTGATTGCCAACTATTATATGGAGTTTGTGGATGTGGGATTTAATGGGTCTTTTGGGAAACCAGAGATTCAATATTCCTAGCTTCTCAATTAGTTGAGATTACACAGTTTGGAAGGTGTTCAAAATTATTGAACTATAACTATTTGATATTTTTTGAAAATTGAGAACTTTTTAAAATGTTGTATGGTTTGTTTTAGAATTTTTTTCCTGAATTTTTTTGCAGATATTTGGAATTTTACGAAATTGTTGAGAATTTTTGCGAATCATTCGTGGTTTAGTAGGCCATTTCAGCGCCCCAGGGTCTATAGGGCTTAGCTCCATTGGCTGCGGCATATTGGAGGGCGCTCGCATTGTAATCCTGGCTGCCAGCAACTGGATATTGGGGCGTGGCACTGTAGCTGAGAGTCTCGCTGGGCGGCAGCTCGTTGCGATGGCTGTTCGTCAGCTCAATGTAGGTGGGCACCTGCTGCCCCTGTTGCACCTGTTGCACCGACTGTGGCACCTGTTGCGGCTGCTCGGCATGTGCGCTATGCTCCTGTGTATAATGTTGTTGTTGTTGCTGCTGTTGTTGTTGTTGCTGCTGCTGCTGTTGCTGCTGCTGCTGTTGTTGTTGTGGTTGTTGCTGCTGTTGCTGTGCGGTTGCCTCTGCCGAGTGGCTCTCGCTGACAGGTGCACCACTCGCTGTGGTCGCAACGCTGGAGCGGCTGACATGATGCGGCGAGGCGCCCATATAGCCCCCAGTGCTGGGCACATACGAGGAGCTGGCGGAGGGCGCAACGGCAGCCGTTGCATAGGCTGTCTGATAGGGCGTGGCCGCACAATTGGGCTGATAGGCGGCCACGCCAGAGATCTCGCGCTGCTGGGCAAAGTACTGCAGGTGCGACATCAGGCGAAGCCGCAGTGGATCCTGTATATCCATGCCCTCGATGGTGACCAGGTAGCGTGCCACCTCGGCGGCGCATTCCCTGAACCCAATGGTGTGATAGTCCATGGCCACGCGCTGCGGATCGTAGCTGAGCGAGTCGAGAGCTGCAAATGGGCAGAAGAAGACAAGGCATTAATAAAAAGTCAATAAGCTGCTCTCGGCTCGTGGCAAACGATTCAAAGAGCGATTCCCACGCGCGCGCCTATCAGAAACTAACAACAACAACAACAACAAAAACAAAAAACTACCCCTGAGCCATAGCCTGAATGGGAATTGAGGTTTAGGGTGGGGGGTGGTGAGGTGGGGGTTACGTCGTTTGAATTGCACTTGGTGCCATAAGCGGGTGGCGATGGTGGTGGTGCTTTAGTGGCATTAAGGTGGTGCAGCGGGCTGTGCGCAGCGTGGGAAGCCTCGAGATTCGATATTCACTCGCTTTCCCTATTCAAGTCTCTAAGGTCAACAGGTTAAGCATTGTTTAGCCAGCTTTATGATAATATATGACAAATTATTGGAGAGATTTGATGAGGGAAATCTGAATCTATTGCTATTGGTCCAATTTACTGCGTTCTAATTTGAATTCTTTCTTTTATTTTTTATTAATATGTTTTTTAGGCAAATAAAAAAATAAATAAAAGCAATAAATATATCAGATAAAAAATATGTAGAAAATACATATCTTTATATATGATATGGTTATATAACTGAAAATTGTCTAAAATTATATTATATGCATGGCTTTTGCCAGAATATTATAGTTTGCTTAGAGCCTTTTGAAATCACAAATAAAAGTGTTTTAAATGATATAAAAAAAAGTTTAAATAACCACAAATATTTAGTCATTAGAAAAGGTTCTCTTATTTTTAATGACCGTTTCTATTTAGATATCAAATATGTACCTAGAAATTTTCTAAAAATCTAAATATTAAATATGAGAGAGCTGTTTTGCTTATAGATTTTCAAAATGGTTTCCTGACTATATTTGTATATAAAATTGATATAAAAATCGTAAAAACATTCTTATTGATTTTTAAAGGAGTTACGTGAATAAGGAGTGTCAACTGATCAAGAAATATCATTCACATTTATCGTTTAGATATGTTTCTGAAAATTCAATTTAAATAATAGTGTTCATAGTTTGGGCCAATAAGGCTGCAAATTTGGCATCTGAGTTAGAGGTAGCTTCAATTTCATGATCTTTCTTCTGGTATATATGTTCATAAATACACTTTCTCAGTCTTGATTTCTTAGACTCTCTAAGTTTATATATAGTTCTATAATGTCGTCTTTCATAAAACTCATTTTCACTTTAACATTTTTCAAATTTTGACTGTGCTACGAAGGGCCTTTCCGGTATTTCACTTTATATCTGTCTTCATCTTCCTCCATCTTTGATCTCATACTCACTTTTCGATTGCAAGTTCTTCAAGTGCTCCACAGTTAGCTGCAGTATCTCGGCCTTCTCCAGCTTGGCTGAGCCCTGCTTCTCGTAGGCGGAGGGAACCAGACGCTTCAGCTCGGTCAGCGATGAATTGATGCGATCTCTGCGCTTCTTTTCAATGACGCCGCGACGCTTCTTGCGGCTCATCAGCTGACAGCTTCCACCTTCACCAGGTGAGATTCTAATTATGAATAAGAAAAAAGACAGACAAACTGTTAGTAAATTCACAGAGTTCTATTTCACAAGTCCATCGCGCATACGCACTGTTCTTTGGAAGATTCCTCCGAGTAGAGCTCGTCGCAGTCGCTCTCGGAGAGCGCGCGCTTCAGACTGTTATGCGAATGGTGGCTCTGGTGACTCTGAAGGCTATGATGGCTCTGCAGGCTCTGGTGACTGTGGCTCTGGGGCGGCGGCACCCAGTGACCTTGGGGCGTGGCAGGCATGGCGGCAGCAGCGGCGCCATAGCCCCAGTGATGCAGAGGCGGTGCATTCACGTGCATATTGTGCTCCATTGAATTGAATTGAATTGGAATTCGAATTGGAATCGGAATTGGAATCGGAATTGGAATTGAGTTTTATTTGCTGTTGGCTATTTTGGTCTTTATCTCTGGAATCACTTGGTAACTGCGCTTAGCACTAAAAAACTTGATGCGGCTCGCAGCTATAGTTGTAGTTGTAGTGCGTAGCACGTGACTTATCGTGTGCGCGAACGGCGTTCGACTGATTTGCCAGCACACGACTAGCGGACGTTCAGGCCGCCGTTTGCCCAACCTACTCTCAACCCCTTTTGCCATGCCGCTGCCTGCGGCAGCCAACAGCAGCAGCGGCCCAATAAGATGCCGCAGCAACCACCCCCTTGGCAACGTGAAGCGCAGCGCGTGCCGCACCGGCTGGGGGTAGCTAACGGGCAGTGCCCGTGCTCTATGCTCTATGGCACTACCTCAGCCACCGCCTCTGCTGCTGGCTCTGCCTCTCGCTCTGCCTCTGCCCAGCGATCAGCTTCTGCAAGTGACCAACAAATGAACAAGGAGAAGAGCATACGCTGCGGAAGGAGTGGGGGAGAGAGAGAGAATGAGCACGTTGACTCATTCGCACTTGCAGCATATTGTTAATACCCAGTGCAAGTGATTGGCAATGGGAGTTTAGATAATAAGAGAATGCGGAAGAGAGAACATAGCAGCTTTTAGTTATTGATGTAAATATTTCTAAATGAAATTATATATGTATTTGTATTTATTCAGCTTAAAATTGGCTTAGATAAATAGCGATAGATCGATAAATATCGGTTATCGTTTGAGGCCTCATTTAAATAAAATTTTTTTGGGTTATATTTTTATTATAAGTCTTATATTTGTAGTATAGGTTTTGTAATTATTTTTTAATTAGATCGATAATTATCGTTATACCAATAATTTATTAAACTATAAAGATAAATCTATATATTTATGGAAATTTCTTATTAAGTTAACTATGACATTTATCACTGTATCTTTATTAAAAAGCTTAGCTATCACTCTCTCAAAATGTAATCGATATACATATATCGATTAATAATCTTAGGCGAGCTCCACAGTTACTAGCACAAGGCATTAGTTTTTTTTCCTAAAATCCAATCTAAATGTTTGTATACAGGGTAGCTGCTAGTCGTTCATTTTTCCCACTGAAACACTTCAGTATCTTCTAGCCAAGTGCAATGCAAATGAATAATGTAAATAATTGTTATTAGTTAGTTCTTATGTCATCGAATGTCGATTGTATCAAACAGCAGCAGCAGCAGCAGGAGCAGCAGGATGCGTGGCAGCAACAACAACAACGGCAGCCGCAGCATCGGCGCCGTGGGCGGTGGCCGGCGTCTGCCACAGTTTGTCGCATTGTCTTTTTGGCGGCCACTTGCCAGCGCGTTGACTTGTTGCCTCTGCTGCCGCTGTCTCTGCCTCTGTCACACACACACAACTGGAGCACGCGACCGAACCGCCAGCCCGAACGGCCGCCGGGCTCGTGTGCGGCATGTGGCATGTGGCATGCGGCTCCAACAAGTGCAACGCCGCCCCGTTCCATTTGCTCTCTGTGTGTGGCCCGGCGCCCGCAGTTTGTAGGTCAGTGGTCCAATTTATGATTTCAAGGTTAGTTTGGAGCAGGTGCCGCAACGCCGTTGACCTCTGACCTACTCAATGCCCACAGAAACAACAATCGATTGTTCTCTCAGCCCAAAGGAGGCTGGGCTCAAATTGAATGATAATAAATATTAGATAACAAAATTATCAAAGTGACTTTGAGCTGGATTCGCAATGAAATATTAAAGGAATTTAAAGTGTAAGGAAAAGATATAGAAATAATTAAAAAATAAATTGTATTGAGTAAGTGATAATTGTATAAATTA